TTGAGAAACTTGTCAGTAATGTAGTAGGAATTTGTAATATGTCTTCAGAATGATCTTTTGTTTTTCCTTTCAGCGGGAGTAAAGGAGTAAGATTATGCTTTGTTGTTAGTAGCTGTTGGTAATAATAGACTTACTGGAGGAGGATGAGAAAGTATCCAAACCATAGTCTGCACTGAGGTCACAACACCACCTTCTCGCGGTAACATCATGTTCTAGCATGAATACCCCCTAATCAGGGCTGAAGTGTTGCTTTGCAGAAATCCTCTATGAAATGAATCCTAGAAATGAGCTATCATTTTGTAAAGAAAGTGACTGTGATTGTTGTCCCGACTTGTAAAACCTAACCTTGGTATTTGTTGCGGCTCCTTCTGGTTATACATCTGTTGTTATTCATTCTCACAAGATGGAAGTAACAAAGGGCCTCTTGCTTAGCGAAAAAGTCATTATTCTTAGGACAGCAGCTGTACGTAGAAAGCATATATATATATATATATATATATATATATATATATATATATAAAGCTTGAAAGTGAAGCACTACCATTCTGTTTTCTAATCAGTTGCACACCTCTAAGACACTTTGAAGCTGAGTATCAATCTTCTATTCTTGTCCTTTTCTCTCCGTCTTTTCTCCTTGTCTATTTTCTCACCCGAGTGTTCATCCAAGATGGTTTTGTCACCTCTCCCTCTCACCTCCTTCTGAATTAATTTGTCTTGTTTTTTCCATCACTCTCTTTAGCTCTCACTATGGTGTTTATGGCCCTTGCTGGTTTATGCCAGTTGGAATTATTCTAATTGCAGCCCCTCCGCTCTGTGAGACATGTTTGTGACGTGTGCACCGCCCAGGCCAAAGTGTAATACCTGTTTCTGTTTATCTGTCCATGACACAAAAAGACCTGGATATTGGCACACATTATCTGCACACATGCCCACACACCACATATGTTCCTCTGCAATACTGCTGCTACTCAAGCCATGTGTAGATTATTACCCAAGAAATGACAGGGCAGTAGTGCTTCACGCCTAGCAGTTCATTTCATGGGTGCCACATTTACTGCATACTGCAGCAGGGCTGTGTTTGAGTGGAAGTCAAGATGGAAAATGAAGTCTGAATGTTATTTAATAAGGTCTGAAAGGTTATTTACTGCCATGCTAGAGATGTGGGAGCTTCAGTGCCTTGGAAAATGTTCGCCTAACATTTCCCATGACCTTTTTTAGTTTTTAGTTTAGGTGGCAGCAGTTTTCTTGCCTCTATTAGGTGAATATAGAAGGGAAACAATGTTAAAGCACTGCAACACTAGTTTTCAAAACACTGAGCCATTGAAAATGGCATTACACATCCCAGGCGAGCGTTCTAGTGACGGTGTAAAGAGTTTGTGGGTCTGTTGATTCGGCTTCATTTTAGGTAAGGTGCTCATTTCTGCCTTGTGGAGTGTATTACTTAAAAGATAGGCCAGTGTTGTTTTACTGCTTCCTATGTTAGAAACTATATCTGAACCTAACTAAGACTTCCATTATACAGCACAGCAGTGGTAGTAGAGAGCTGCCAGAGAGAGAGAGAGAGTGAGACAGACAATAACAGTAGGGCTGCATTTAAATATTGTTTTATTATTATTTATATATCTGCAAATTATTAAGCGATTAATCTTTTGCCTGAAAAATAACTTAATCAAGTATCATAAATAGTTGTTTATTAGATTATTTGACTAATTATTGCAGATCTAGATGACATGAAAGTCCTCGGGATTTTGTTAAACTACTGAATGCATCAGCCATGTCTGAAAAATGACACAATTACACAAGGTACATAAATACATTAAAAATGTTCATTTATTTGTAGGTATTAAAAAACAAACGCTTTATCATAAATGTTTACTGTATGTTAAACTTATTAAATCAGCCAGTGTATTGTAACCTTTTCTTTCCTCCAATATCAATGTTGGGATCATCAGCAAATAAGTAGCATTGCTCTGGCTGTAATATGAGCTGCTTAAATCCTGGCACGCTCCAGCAGTTATATGAATCATGGTCTGGCACCACAGAGCCTTGGAAAGGATGCCGAGCCTCTTTTCTATAAACTAAACATCCGTCTATTATTGAGTCGGTGTCCGGGCCGTAGATACCGACAGTGTGCTCTTACTACGAGGTTAGGCTGCAGAAAGCCATGGATCAGCCAGACGTCCTCCTTCTAATAGACTGTTTAGGTTTAATATGAGTTTTCACCTCCTCTAATGGAACACGCTCCCTCTGCAAGGACACTCACTGAGATCTCTCTCAAAGTTGTGTGTATTGCAAATGGAAATGCAGACTGACGGTTCAGAGCAGGTTCACAGCCTGAATGTGAATCAACTCTGTAATAGTTCCTTTCAGTTTGAGTGAGGAGGGGCAGGATCTCTCTCTGTTTGTGTATTTTGAGTGTGTACCTGTCTGTGTGTGTTTACAGTGGTAGATTTGGAGTCGCTCGACGGTCACCTTCCCTGTAAAATCTTCTTTATTGGCAACGGAATGAGCCAAGAACCTGCAGTCTGTTGTCCTCGGGGGCAGGTCTTTGTGTGTTTACGCAAGTTATAGGGGACTTTGAATGAGACGCAATCGGAGGCTTTGGCAGCCGTAACCATGGTTACCAGATGTTCTTATCATCCCAGTGCTACACCTCCAGTTCTCTAATCTTTCCGGGGCTAACTGTGTTTAGCCGCGAGGCAGTATGTCATGTTGGGCTCTCTCTCGCCCTCTCTGTGAAGGCTAAAGGCACTGAAGCATTTCCTGCCACTTTTAATGGACTTCTATTAAACTTCCCAGCGCTGATCTACTTTTATAGCTCCACTCTTCGCTTCTGAAATCCTCATTCACTTTACAGAAGTCATTTATGATCGCTTTACACTGTCAGCCATGCAGCACAGTGTTGGCCGTTACACATACCTTCCGAGACATTGCTGGTATTTGAATATGATTATTGCTCAGTGGTTTATTTTTTAATGTTTCTTGAGCTAATTGTGCAGTGGGCTGATTTCTGAAGGCCTCACAAATGTTTTAAATAAAGACAATGGAAACCTCAATTATTTTTGTTCAGTTGTTCCATATGAAAGTACTAATATACAAATGGGTAAATATATTTCACCATATAGAAAAAGTGAGTTCATTTATAAAAAAAAAAAATCTAAACATTGGTTTCCTATGTTCTTGATGTTGAATAAAGCAATAAATCAATATTGTAAAACCAGGTAAATTACACTCCTCTCATGAGATGTGTCTTGTAAGATGAGGTTAAATCTCCACATTAAGTAAACTAGTAAGCTCCAGCTAGTAAGTGGAACTCTAAGTTAAGTTATTTTGGGGATGTTTTTTATCAAACTACTAAACTTATATATCCAAGGTCAAGAATAACATGTCAAGACAATTTTTTAGATAATTCTTTACAGCGTATTTGCCTGCAATAAAATAAAACTTTATAGCAGAAAGATTACAGTTGACAAAACATTATCACCATAAGATCTATTTAGTGGCTTATCTAGTTATTTGCATTTTATCAAATTATCTTCCTCAGCATTAGCACTGCAGTTGCTCAGTTATTACAAAATGACAGATGTCAAAATTAAAAACATTTTTTAATAAAGTTATGGACTTTATCTTTCCTCACGGTTTACTTGAAGGCTTAGCCCCAAAACGGCTACTAGATGGACATTATTACATTTTGTTTGCTGTTTCAATGTCAGAAATGTCAAGTGAATGTGTGGTTTTAAAAGTAATGCACCAACGTGTTTTTGCATGCAATTAAAATTCCTCTTCAAGTACAAATAAGAGGGCTTCTATTTCTGTTACAGCCTGTACTTGGCATAGCCTTGACACATACAAGGCTCAGGTGTGACAATTAAATTAGGGCTCCATGCTCGTGCTCTCCACGGCCCTATGGACAACCTGAGCCCTGCAATGTCATCCTGAGGAGAAACCTACTACAACTCTGCAGTGAGCACGTGTGAGCACCAGCATAGTTTGCACTAGCTATTGTTTCCTGGTTTATTTAAGGTAAAGGCCAACAATATCCTCTCTGTCTGAAGCATTAAGCACATCTCAGTTAATAATCATTGCAATTCATACTGGAGGTAGAAATTCCAAATAGTCTCCTCAGAAATCACTTTTTTTCTAATAATTTAAAAGAAAAATATTTTTTAAATGCTCTTTCTCCAGACCCCCCTCTTCTCTAGCATCCACTGCTTTCTTTTTCAAATCTTTGATGGTTTTCTGTCACTTATATCAGTCTTTAAACTGTAGGTACTGTGTCTCTTTCTCTTTCTTTAATGATGTGCGAATGAATAGTTCTTACACTCCTCTTCAGTCTCTCCCCCCTCTATTCCTCTTTTTGTAATCTCCATCTGCCTGCTAGATCTGTTGAGAGAAAGCAGAAAGAGATTGTTCTACTTCAGTTATGAAACTCCCGCCGGGTGACTATGAGAAAGCTGCGATGACTTTCCTCGGCCTGACGATGTGATGGATGGAAGTGTTTAAAGGGCCCCACTATTTCTGTTGGGCTGTCCATCGGAGTGGCTCACAGTTTGCAGTCAGGAGGGAGTGTTTGGGTAGATGATAGAACGGGTGAAAGTGTGTAGGTGGCCCTGTTCAGATAGAAAGCTGGCAGGGGTCAGTGTATTCACTGTATGAGCATACAAGCCTTTGTACCTCCTGTTTGTTGTGTGAAGTGTTGTGTGAAGGAGAGCCCAATCTGACGCCCTGCACAGCCATGATTGATTGTTCTATCTCACACAGGCTCCGCCCTCTGGACTCTATGGGTACAGTGGGTGGAGTCTTCCAGCCCTGTATGGGGCTTACTGCGCACCACGTTTCCCAGGTCCCTAAGGAGCATGGGACAACGTAAGTGCAGTGTAAGAGCCTGTGTGAGATAGAACGGTGGGTTACGTATTGTAACCCTAGTTCTATAAGCACAGGCAGAGCCCTCTACCTGGGGGTCCTGTCTTTCCTATGCCGCTCGCTGAAGAGGGTGTAGGATGACGGTCAGGAGGCGTAGCCGTCTTATATACTGTGAGCTGCGCGCGCATTCAGGTAGGCTTGCCCTGATTGGCCGGCTACTTTTATAGAACTTCAGTGTGTGAACGCTCGCCTATCATTGATGAGAGTAGTACCCATAGAGTCCAGTAGAGGGCTCTCCCTGTGCTTATAGAACTAGGGTTACAATACGTAACCCACCGTTTTGGGACTGGGAGTCACAATGATGTCTTCAGTGCAAACTATCCGTTAATAAATCAAAGAGTTTCTCCAGAGAACATTTTAAACCTTAATAATTATGGTTGGAGTCAATTATCATGCAAAAGCATTGGCATTGTTAAACATGTTTTACTTTTCTCTTTGAAATTCATAAGCTCAACCATTGATTAATCTAAACAAGATAAACAGAGGCAGTATGGTTTTATAGATGGACAAATATTTTCTTATTCTTTTAATTGAATCAATAAAATGTTTCTAAAATGTATAATCTAAATTTGAATACATCATTCATGTATTTTATGATGTTACTTAAATGTCAAACTTTGTTTTCATTGTATTGGACCAACAATTAGTTTACTGTGAAATGGTGATGTTTTTTTCTTTTCATGGTCTCTCAAACACTTGTCAAATCATGGATACATAAAAACAAATCATGGATACAGACAAACAAATAGTTTTCATTGTTTCCTGCATGAGTTCTGGTGTGTTTTGGTGACTACCACAGAATGAAATATAATTTTTGTATTTGTTCTTTCACACTACTTTCCAACTGCTGTTGGAAAGCTAAGACCTTTCGTTTCTTGACCTCTGCTGCTTTGACCCCTCTCCGTCTCTTTCAGCTCAGTTAACTCTCCCATACCGAGCCTGATATACTCCATTCATTCTGCTTCTACTTTCTCATCCTTTAGCTCTTCCTGCATTCCTCCATTGTGCTCTTTGCCAGACGCTAAGCTCATCCTCCATTTTGTTCCCATCTTTATTATTATCCATGATCCTTGCCATCTTGTCTTCATCCCCCTATCCTACAGTCTTCACCTTCATTCATCCCTCCTTCATCCACCTTTTTATCCACTAAGCCGATGCAGAGGCTTCAGCCAGGTATTCGATGTGTTGACCCAGTTAGCCAGCAGGTTAGATTGTCAGATAATCATGATTTGGACTGCACTTCCTCTTCTATCAAGGCTGTCTGCTGTTCCCATGCTGAGACACATACATCCAGAATAGTCAGGAGGAATGTAGCTGAAAAAATGTTTTTGTGGCCCCTGTGCTTTGTGAAGGACTGACAGGCAGACAACTAAACTGCTCAATAATTGGCACAGTAATAACCCTAGCATACAAAGGTCTTTTTGTTCTACGTATGACCTTCAAACTCAGTTTATGACCCTTGCTTTCTGCAGGGTAACCGCAGGATGAAGGTATGTCACCTGTCTTCAGACAAGACAAAGGAACATGTCAGAGAGATCCATGGGGATGTTGGACTAAACATCACCATGGAAGCCAAGAGAAGGGACTTTTGGAAATGGAAAACTGGAAGTGTTAAAGTTTCACTGAAGAAGATGAGGAAGAGTTATAGAGCTTGCAGAGGAAAGCCTCGCCTCAATAACACTGAAAAGATACAAAAAGTATGAGTTGTTTTCATGTCTAGAGAAGGAGCAGAAAGACAGGGTTATCTGAGTTCTGCAATTTCCCAGAGCAGAGTGAGAGAAAGACAGTGAGAGAAAGAAAGTGAGGTATAGAAAAGGAGGGATAAATGACCTACATCATTATGTTAACTGGCAGGAAATGGCAAACCTTTTTCTGTCTTAAATTGTATCTGATCCACTGCTTTTCCACAACTGTACCATGTTTTAAAATGAGCTACATGCAGTCAGCAGAATATTATCTGACATTTGTACTTGGAATCTTTTTCACTTTGCGACCTTGGACTGGCTCGTCTTGCCTGTTTGGCACTGAGCCAGGGGAGGGAGGCATTATTTTCTCTGAAACGGTTTAGTTGGTGTTATTCGTTGACTAAAATAGATAGAGATAAGGATACAGTTCCTCCGGCTCAGCTCTATCCCGCAGCGGGGTGTGAGTGTGAGCTTGTGTGCGTTTGATTGGCGATGCACTTTTTCTTTCTTTATCTCTGTTTATCGATGATTCATCTGCTGCAGCCAGGCAGAAAGGACAATCAGGTTACTGCCTCTATACCTGATTTGTATGCCACCTGCAAGATGCACCCAGAGGGTATTTAATGGAGATATATAAGGGGTTCTTTTGTAAATCATTGGCACACTGTTACAATCCTTTGTTTTAATAATGTTCTCTCTCCAAGAAGAATTGATTCTTCTAAACCAATTGGCCTTGCCTTTACACCTCTGAAACCTTAAATAATAATTATATTTAACTCAAAAACAACTCGCAATCGTTTTGATTGATTGATTGATTTGTTTCTTTTTGTTTTTTAGTCATTAATGCCAACACTTTGACTTGTTCCAGCCTGTCTTTAGTTGCAGTGACATCAGCATTGGGCCTGCAAATTGCAACATTTTTATCATTAGTCAAATGTTAAAAATAAACCAACTATCCAAAAGCCAAAAATATTCAAATCGCAGTTAAAGTACATAAAGCAAAGTGGGGAAGTAAATGTTAATATTCGATCACCTGAAAACAGAGACTGTTCGGCATATTTGTTTGTTAAAGCTTAAAAAAATTATTATTATTATATAGTTATCCGTAGCTTATTGAATTGATCAATTTTGAATTGATAACACTGCTTGGAAATTGTCAATTGGAAAGAAAAATGTGCTAATCAATATGTAAGTGAGAATATATATATTTAATTGACAGAAGATTTATTTTGTATCTGCAGCCCTCTAACTCTCTCCCTCTGCTCTCTATTATCAGGCTGCGGCTGACTTCGCCAAGGCCCACCTGTCTGGGGCGCTCCGCCAGCAGCTACTGACCTACGAACGTGAGAGAGAGCGAGACAGAGAAAAAGACAAGGAGAAAGAAGAAAAAAAGGAAAGGGGCGGCCTGTCCTATCCTTCCATACTGGAGCAGCAGATATTGAATCTGGACAGAGAAATGCTTGAGAAGCTCTCTGCCACTTACAATGAAGCAGGTGAGTGAATTGGTTTGTTATAGAATAAAAGAAACTGGAGAAAAATCCCTGACTCTTTAAAAAGAGACAACCATAACTACTGTATGTACAATATATGTTCAACTTTATCAATGCAAACATGTGTGCAAGTTCTTGCATGTAAAACAAGTTGGGGATAGTTTTCCCTGCATTTCATTAAATAGCAGATATCTACATGTGTGCATACATTATTTCAGCTTTAATGTGGCCACAATAAAGGGCAGATACCATATACAGATGGATTTAAACCACAAGTGTTGCTCATTACTGGGGACACAATAAGAAAGCACCAGTTAGTCAAGGGTGATGTTTTTAAATGTTCCCTATAGAGCTGCACCCAAACTATTTGTTCCACTCCACTGTTTTCACTTGTCTGTTGTTGAATAGTGACTGTCAGCACCCCCTAAGCCTTGCTTATTCAGCTGTTAAAATACAAGCTGATCTTCACAGGGCTTGTAGTAATTATCTCTGGAGATAGGCAGGGAGGGTGTGGTGACGCAAAAGAGAGAGTGTGATGGAAAGAGGTAGGAGAAGGGTCAGAGGGAAGGAGGACATTTTTGCTGCTCAGAGATGATACAGTAAAATGGGATGAGAGAAATGAAGGGAGGAGAAGTGCTAAGGACAGACAGGAAAGGGACAACAGAGGCGTTCAAAGGGTGAGGAGAATGCGGGAGAATTAGAGTATGGATACAAAGGGTGATGATAAAGTCTGACATGAATTAGACAAAACCTTTGGCAGAGACAATAGGAAGAGAAAAGACTGAGCAGAGTCATACAGTCCAATGCAGAGACATATGGGCTTCATCTGTCAACATCATTGTCCTACATTCAATGAAAGCCTTGTTTATGATTATTTCAAAGGTAAAACAAGTTTTGTAGACATCGGAGAATTAGTAACAGTAAGGGAGGCAGATTAATGAGTTTCACTGGGTTTCTAAACCACCTCTGTTAATTTAACTTCAAGTCTAAAGGGAGAAATTTGATTAATAAGACGATCTACATCTTTTTATTCTGCGGCAAAATCCTTATTGGTTTATTGAACACGCAGGAGAGAAAGTTGAAATACAGCTAATAGGATGATTACATGGACTTCCTGTGATGAGATGCTTCAACTTCAAGAACTTCAAGCTTTCCTTTTGGAGGATCACTTTTCCTTGCTGTACCTCTGATTAAACTCTCAGCTCTGTGAGAAGCAGAGTAAACGTCAGAGAAATACAGTGAAAAAGGTTTTGGTGTTTGGGAAGAACTAAGCTCTCAGTCGTGCCCATAGATAAAAGTACCAATGATATTCTTGCTGAGTCTATTGCTGAGAGTGTTTTGGAACATAGACACAACTAACTAAAATGGCACTTGGAGAGCACAGACCTCCACCAAGGCCAAAGGTGCATCAATGTGCTCCTCTGAAGGTCTAATTCCATGAGCTTTAAGTCATAATGTCGTAACAACATGGACGCTACAGAGGGGATGCATTGTGTTTTTATTTCACAGGTCATTTTGACAACATAATGATATCTGTTTCCGACATGCATGAATTATCCCATTTGAAAAACTTCTCTTTTTTTGACAACACATGAATGCAGTGTGTAGCCTAAATGACAACCCCAGACAGCATGCAAGTGCCATGGAGAAGGCCTCACGCCCTCTGGAGCGCGGCCTGAAGCACCTATTCTGGCAGCCATAGTGTTTTTCTAACACTCATCTGATCTTAACCTCCTCATCCTTTTTGATACTACATCTATTTTAGTTAACTAGTAAATCTCCTTTCCTGATCCATCAGCCTGCTTCTGTTTCTCAAGATACGTGCACCTGTTGCATCCAGGCTCAACAGATCTGAATATATATATTTATTTTCTTATCCCTCTACATTTTCATCATCCTTTATTTGGGCAGCACAGCAAGAAGTACTGACACTGAGCTTATAGATACATTTTTAGTCAAGCTCCATTACAATGCAAAGGCTCTTGTGTTGTCTAATCCAAGCATTTGACAGTCAGGGATTGAATTTGTTGCGGAATTTATCCGACCCTTCTTGTCAGCATCTCAGGGGGGATCTGCTGATCAGGTAATTGTTGTGCATTCTTGTCCCTGTATCTGATTCAACAATCGCATCATTTAGGGTAGACTGCTCCCTGCTTTCTGCCACAATCAGGGCCTAAAGGAAGCTGGCAGGGAAGGCAGAGAGGGGGGGAATAGAGAGACACACTCTCAATTCAGCAGTCAGGAAGACAACAGCGTATCAGATTTATCCCCCTGTTCATTCATCCCTTTGTTGTTTATCAGCCAACAAAAGCCTTTGAAAGACAGATAAGGGAGATGGGAATGGCCAAGAGCTTGAGTCTATTATGGAAACAGCTTCCTTAATGCGGTGTGGTATCCTATTAGTACTAACCTCTGTGTGGCTGTGTGGCTGTGTGGCATGACTCAGCACACGTTTGAACCCACACAAGCACACAACAGTGTCAAATGGTGTATCAGTTCAAAGCTATACAAATGGTTAAGATTAGAACATTTTAAAATATATTTTAAGAAATCATTTGGGGAGCACATTTTCATCTATCTTTCGTGTCATGTACGGACAGGTGATACAAAAACAGTGAGTTAGTACGGGACACTGAGTCATCTAAATACAAGAAAATGAATACATACCGCATCATTTCAATGTCAAACTAGCAAAATAAATCTAATATTTGCAGGAAGGAAGGAAATATCTTGCCTCAGTAATGCAGAAGAATGTGTTCGTATGACTGGGGCCAGGCTTTTGATAAAACATTGCATTAAAATGTGTCACATTATATACTTCTATGATAACTATGCATTTTAGGTAGTTACATTTTTTAATTGAGACAGAATAATGTCTCTGGCATAACTGGTGGCCTACAGGTTATAAAAGCGAGTTTGCAACTGGGGTTGTCGGTTAAATTCCCAGACTGGCAGGATAGATCTGAAAAAAACAACCTTTAAAAGTCTTTGCGCATCATGTAAAATACGCGATGACGTCGTCACTTTTCGCTCATGCAGCATCGCGTCATGAACACCACAGCAAGCATTAAGCAGGCTTAAATCCCAACCTTAACAGGGGAGCCAGCAGATCAGACTTGTTGGTTAGCTTATGTGAATGTGTTTAACTGTGTCAATATGCAAAATAGAAGTTTCCTATAAGTGACATTTTCAAGTTTAAAATCAATTAAAGTTTCTCAAAATGATTTTCTGAGTGTATCTCAATTCCATAAAATACCATTCGTTTAGTTTTTGCTTTCCTAAGCCTTGCATTTGTTTGCTATTGTGATTATTTTGAGCTGAATGTTGATGTTGTTGGTTTTGTTATGCTTAGAGTATCCTAATTTTTCTACCCTGAATCCAATGATGTTCATCTTTGTTTGAACTGTTGTTTTTCTCTGAAGTGCCTGAATAATGTAACAAATATTTACAGTATTGGAGCAGGACATAATGTATTTGGCTCTGCTTTACATAATAAGTGCCCAAATGCTACAGCCTGTGGCAATACTTGGAGAAACTATTGACTTACAGATAGAAAACATAAAAGTGTGTATCAGCAAAAGGCAAAAGCCAAAATGTTTTCTGTAATTAACTTGGGTTACACTAAAGTCAAAGACAATAGCATCCCATTTGAAGGTTTGTTAGTGTGTGTTATAGATAAAAGTACACTTGGAAATGTGTAGCCTAGGGACATGATCATTATAAATATATATTTGATACAGACCAATCAGGTTTAACAGGCTCTGACATCCAACCGTTATAGTTATATAACAACAGCTCATCCTTGCATAAGTTTTGTCAGCTCGCGTTCAGATTCCACTGGCTAAGTTTCCTGAACTCACAGAAAGAGACTATTTTAAAGCTGTTCTTTGCTCACTCTATGACTGCACAACCATTAGAGAGGATTTATTTCATTGTGATGACACCCTGACGACCTCCTAACCTATCAAGCTCCCCTCTCCTCTTTCTCTTCTTCGATCTCTCTGGAAAAAAGCACTTTCTTTCAAGATAAGATCCATTCTTCCTATTCCAATCCCAAAAAACTATTTTCTATCTTCTCCACCCTCCTGGATTCCCCCAAAGCCCCTTCCCCCTCCTCCCTTCTTCCAAGCGACTTCGTTAACTATTTTGAAAAAAAGGTTGATATTCGCTCTTCTTTTTCCGACTCACCATTACTCACCACTGGGCCACCATTCCCACCGTTCACCCACACACTAACCTCCTTTTCCGCTCTCTCTCCAAGTGAGGTTCTTACCCTCATTACCTCTGCCCGTCCTACCGCCTGTCCTCTGGACCCTATCCCCTCAAACCTCCTTCAGACTATCGCTCCTGATATTCTACCGTTTCTCACCCATTTCATCAACACTTCTCTAACTTCTGGTCACTTTCCAAACAGTCTCAAGGAGGCAAGAGTAAACCCTCTCCTAAAGAAACTCACTCTCAACCCGTATAATGTTATAAACTACAGGCCTGTCTCTCTCCTCCCGTTCCTGTCTAAAACACTTGAACGCGCTGTCTTTAAACAACTCTCCTGTTAACTCCATCAGAACAACCTTCTTGATCCGCACCAGTCTGGTTTCAAGGCAGGTCACTCAACAGAAACTGCTCTCCTCGCTGTCTCTGAGGAACTGCACACTGCTAAAGCAGCCTCCCTCTCCTCTGTCATCATCCTTTTGGACCTGTCTGCTGCATTCGACACGGTGAACCATCAGATCCTCCTTCGCACTCTCCAAGAACTTGGAGTTTCAGGCTCTGCACTTTCTCTCCTCACCTCATACCTCAAAGACCGCACCTACAGGGTAACTTGGAGAGGGTCCGAGTCCGACCCTTGTCAATTAACTACAGGAGTCCCTCAGGGCTCTGTTCTCGGTCCCCTCCTCTTCTCCTTGTACACAAACTCGCTCGG